CACATTTATCAGGTGGTATGGGGGAAGTATTTCTATCGTCACGATTTACATTGAGAAGACACCCTGCAGTGAAGAACAGGCTCCATCAAGAAGATGGCAGCCAATAATTAGTAATGCATTTGACTTTCTTTTTCCTCACCGCCCTGCCTTAAGTAAGCCATTAAGAATAAGAAGCATCACGTGTTTCATTTAAGTATTGCTGCTGAAAATTGCAACCTCTGGCAATGCTTGTGTGTATCATAAACATAGCCAACAGCTTGCTTTAACTGAAAGGAGCATAGTTCTCATGGAAAGGAAGAAATCAATTGCATGGCATTGTTCTATCCAGTGGAAGCAACAGTTTTGCTGTCAACCCTTCTTGTTTTTCCATCTGTGGAGCTCCTATATCCAAACCAGGCTTCTGTGGGGATGGGGGCTCTGAAAGACTGTCTTAAAAGATTATTTTAAAATTAAATTGCAAAGGGAAACAGCATTTTAATAGCATTTGCTATTATTGTTTTCCTGCTTCATAATAATCTCAATTACTGGTAATAATCACTTCAGAAGAATCATCTGCCCCTTCTTTTTTAAAGGCTGCCCCTTCTTTTTTAAATGCCAACCCTGATCTAACCCCCTTCTATCAAAATCTAGTCTATATTGAGACTGTTAGGCATGCAAGCCCACCATGTATGCTTCATATGAGGAAATGAACATTAACTTGAGCTCACTAAAATCCTCCAAACATCAGGCCCGATGCTTGTCTCCTCAATTTGCTCTCATATTTTGCATGAGCTGGAAAATTGTGCAAAGTGAACAGGCATGGAGGTGAAAGTTGTGTAATCCATTCCCAAATTTGCACAGATTTCCCCATGACTCTAAAGTATGGGTCTTGTGTACATAGTGTGTTTTAAGAAAGTTTCATATTCTTTGAAGGTTGCTCATTTCCCAAGTAAAAATTTTGCAAATGTGAATATAAGTTCAGAATTTGCACTTTTGAAGAAAGGAAATTTGCATCTATGTATGGACTTGTGAACAGGGACAGTTTCAGGTGATTTGAAGACTGAGCTATCATGCAACTTCATATCCCTGTAAACCTACTATAGTTTATTCAGCATTTCATTCATCCACACATTTTGGATGTATTGAGCATGTTCTCCTTAGTGAGAACATGAGGTAGCCTTTGAGGTAGTGTTCCATGTTGGTTCTTTTAGTATTTATATCAAAGTTGGGGAACATATACCTCCAATCACTACATGACAGGGTATGTGTTTGTATAAACATATCTGCTGATGCTATGGAATGCCAAATGGGCCAAATTTGGGAGGGGGTAATTAAAAAACAAGGAATATTTAGCCCCCTTTGTACCTTGTAGCATTAATTATCTAAAGGGAAAATAGGCACCCCATAGAGTATAGCCCATGGGAAGCCAGGAGCAAAATTTTTCCCCCAAATTTGCCCACCTCTAATTTATCCCATTGTTTGTTTGTTTGTGATACATGTTATTCTGTGTTTTCCAGGTTCTATTTCTGTCTCTTTTCTTTTTTGTTTCTACATGATTTACCTCTGGCTACTACTATGCATTTGTTTAGGATTTGAAGTGCAGTCCTATGCAGTTTTATCTACCTAGTTTTAAGTCCTTTAGCTACCAGCATTTCTCAGCTAGTCATGCAATTAGCAAAGTACATAATTTCCAAAATTGCAAAAATTTTCCACATAGAACAGGGGTGTCCGACCCATGGCCTGTGGGCCACATACAGCCCAGGTTGGCTATGAATGTGGTGCAACACAAAATTATAAACTTACTGAAAACATTATGAGATTTTTTTTGCGATTTTTTTTTTTTTTTTTTGCAACTCAATTGCACAGTTCACTAGTGTGAACTTTGTGATTGGAAGATAACACACTGGAAGCCACACACCACTGTAAAACTGAAGCCATGATTGCATACAAAAAGCAAGAGCATACATATGTTTATTTTACGTGACAATGTTATCATCTACAGACAGTCAAATTGACACCATCAGACATTACATGTGACTTGGCGAGTGAAATGCAGCTATTATCAATATTATTTCAATGTACCGTTGCAAACAATTTTATACATTTCAACACAAGAATTTGAAAACATCTTTCAAGATGTCTAGGAAAATAATCACTATTTTGGTATGTTTGCGACTCCATTTTCATTTGACATAAATATGTTACCTGCCAATTTTCAAATGGAATGCATACACCCGCCATCTGACAATTAACTTGAAGAAAAAATGATCATGAATTTTTATAGATTCTATTTCCCCAGAAACAAATATCCTACGCTTCACAATCACACCTTATACATATCTTCACTTTTTCGCAACACCCACATTTGTGAGCAACTAAGAGTAAAATTAGAACCAAAATATCTGATGAGCACCTTGAGAACTCACTGAGAATTTCAGCTACATCCATCAAACCAGATACTGGTTACCTGAAGGAGCGCTTACGTCCATACGTGCCTGCCCACCCCTTGAGATCAGCAGGAGAGGCCCTTCTCAGGGAGCCCTCCATGAAAGATATTAGGAGGGTGAGTATCTGGAGGAGGGCTTTCTCTGTGGTGGCGCCCCACTTATGGAATGTGCTCCCCAGAGAGGTCCGCCGGGCGCCATCGTTATTTGTTTTTCGGTGCCAGGCAAAGACCTTTTTATTCAAATGTTATTTTAATTGTTAATATTATTTATTCATTTTATTCTTTGGCCAGGGCGACTTAATTTATATTGTTAATTTATATTATTCTATTTTGAAGTTTATTTATGTTTGTGAGCTGCCCCGAGGCTTTGGCGAATGGGGCGGCATAGAAGTCTCCTAAATAAATAAATAAATAAATAAATAAAATGCTACCAGTATTCCATGTGTAAATATTCATTCCTGCATCCTCATTCCCTTGTATTTTTCCCCAAAAGGACACAGTTAATGATGTGCCCTTCTGGGGTATTCTAGGCAAAAATGGGAGAATGCATGGTTATCTTAAAGGAAAGTAAGGGGAATGGTGACAGAAACCAGTGAACACTGGTTCCATACAGAAATGGAAGGAGCTAAAGCCCGTACCTGCACAGCACGTGTGTGCATGCATCCGTGTACACACACACACACACACACACACACACACACACATAGAACAAGCAGTGTAAGAGTGGCTTATCCATGGAGTTATCCCAGCAGATGCAATGTGTATGTAGATAGTGCAAATTTGTGTTCAGGGCTCGTTTGTGGGTCTTTTATAAGGAGCTGATGCTGTCTCTTGCGCTCTGTGCCAGAGATGTAAAAGCTATATAAAACAGCTAGTCATTGTCTTTGCCTTTGGGGATTTTTGCAAAACAAATACAGAAAAATAGCTTCTTATTTATTGTAGGGATGAGAGACAAGCAGGGCTTGAGTGCCCCATTGAAGACTGGTATGCTTTACTCTTTTTTTCTTTTCACTCAGATGGGAAATGTACACATGTCAGAAATGGTTTGTTGAAAATGCTTATGTTTTCCTCACAGACTCCTGTGTGGAAATATGGGCATTTTAAATGCAAAAATTAAAATAAACATAAAAGCAAAGTTGTAAACAGGCAAGTTTTCCCTGAAAAATGCACTTGTGTTCATGTCTAGAAATGAAACTGGAACAAATTCAAGTAAAAAATGAAGCAAAACATTTTTGTACAGCCCTAACTTACTGTACATAAATTCAGATATTCAAAGTCAATTTTACTTTCTCCTGAAATCATCATCATCATCATCATCATCATCATCATCATCATCATCATCTCAAGGTTTCTGTCCCAGATATGAAAAAATGTGCAAATTTTGGTAAATTCTTAAAAACATGAAAAAGAAACCTCATTACTCGTTTTATAACTGTAGTAATCCCAGCATTGAATGAATAATCTTTTCTGCCTTGCATATAGCTGTTAAAGATGAGAAAATGTAACCCTAATTCAACACTAACATGGTTGAACAGACCCATGAATTAAAACCCAGATTTTTACGACCTAATCTCCCACAGCTTTGGGTTCACCAACTTCCTCCCCTTCCCCTCCTATCTCAGGTTCTTCTGATCGCTTACAGGAAGAAAATTACTATTTTTGGTATATTCCTATTAAAATTCCTTTGAAATACTCACACTTCATTAAGACATTTTCCCAAAGTTAACATACAGTTCTAACCCATAATTTAGCATTATGTGCATGAGCAGGAACCCATCTATGCAAGCCATTGGACTCAAGCCCTCCCCGCTCCTCTTTCTGCTGCCTGCAGGGTTGGAAGAAGGAATAAAAGGCTTCTAGCAGATTCCTGGGTTGCCAATGTGGATTTTTTTTTTTTTTTTTTTTTTTGTGCTTTGCTTATCAAACAAGAACATATTTTAAACCATCAATTCCTACTTCACACAAAACAACTAACCAGTAATCCATAAAAGTGATTCTATGCTGATTCCCAAAGGCTCGTTCCTGCTCACTCATGTAAGAAAAATGAACTAGGTTTCAGTTTCACTTTTACAGATTCCTGGTTATGTGGGAGAACCTAGCCTTAGTGGCTTCAAATAAGTACTTGTTGGTTAAGCAAACCACATAAACAATCTCAGGTTTAGAGTTGATTGGTTTAAATGTTGGCTAGATTCTATTTTGAGATCAGAATGCTTTAATGCACATCTCTCTCTGTGAATGTGATCCCTGTATGCTTGTAAATATACTTTAAATGAGGTCATATATGAATGAAAATATTGATTTCCTTTGGCAAACTCCCAATTTTGTCTGAAATGCATTATGGGCATTGAGTAAGCTAACCCCACACTGCCTTTTCCAAGCAGTCAGAGTTGTCTCAAGACTGTGGTGGGCTTCCTCGGCCCTGCAATCAGAGATCCCAGGGACTGAAGGAAAACTACCATCAAGTTACATCATTTTCACCTTTTGCAGTGGAGATTTCAGTGGCTGAGGATTTAGCCCACTACTAAATGAATAACATTTCTTTTTTTAAGCAGTTTTGTTTTGCTTTTTCCCTTAGATATTTCATTGAGCACAAAACAGAAGAGGATAACTATTTTACCATTGATGCAAATACTGGGACCATTAAGACTGCCAAGGTCTTTGACAGAGAAGAAACCCCTTGGTATAACATCACAGTCACTGCTACTGAAATGGGTAGGTAAGACGTTCATACAGCCAAAAGTCTATACAAAACTTCCATGAAAAAGGAAAGGAAAAGGACACAATTCTTTTAAAAAATCTCCTATATTTTATTAGGAACAGTTTAAGAATTCTGGTGTGAACTAACCAGATCCATAATTCCTGGATGTATGGATTGCAATATAAGTAGCCTTCAAATATTGCACTTCTCCAAGTTGTGTATTGCAGTTCTCAGCTCCAAAAGCATACCAAGAACGACTTAAAAGGTGCATTTTAGGATCTGAAAAATGCTTAGAAATCCATCCACTGAAATAAAACACAATTAGTGGGGAATCATTGGGATGGTGGCCAGTAACAAGCGGGGTCCCCCAGGGCTCTGTCCTGGGGCTGATCCTGTTTAATCTTTTCATTAATGACATGGAAGAAGGGGTGAACAGTCTGCTGATCAAATTCGCAGACGACACTAAAACTGGAGCAGTGGCTACAACTGAGGAGCAGGTACTCCAGATCCAAAAGGATCTGGACAGACTATGGAAGTGGGCAGGAGACAACAGGATGGCATTCAATGTGGATAAGAGCAAGGTCTTGCACTTGGGCATAGGAATAGGTGTCCTAAGTACAGGTTAGGTGACAAGTGGCTGGAGAGCAGCACTTGTGAAAGGGACCTTGGGGTACTGGTTGACTGCAGGCTAAACATGAGTCAGCGGTGTGATGCGGTGGTCAAGAGGGCGAATGCCACCCTTGGTTGCATAGCCAGAAGTGTGGCTTCTAGATTGAGAGAGGTATTACTACCACTTTATACGACTCTGGTGTGCCCACAACTGGAGTATTGTGCTCAGTTTTGGGCCCCTCATTACAGAAAGGATATAGCCAGGTTAGAGTCAGTGTAGCTTAGGGCCACAAGGTTGGTGGCTGGTTTGCAGGGGATGGGGTTTGAGGCGAGACTGGGGGAACTGGGTCTCTTCAGTCTGGAGAAGAGGATACTCAGAGGGGATATGTTGGTGACATACTGGTATGTGAGGGGATGTCACACAGAGGAGGGTTGAGTCTTGTTCTCCTCTGCAGAGGAAGGCAGGACGCGCTCCAACAGAGCAAAGCTCAGGGAGCCAAGGTTCCATTTGAACTCCAGGAAGCATTTCCTGAGAGTTAGGACCCCGAGGGTGTGGAATGGGCTTCCACGAGAGGTCCTTGAGGCCCCATCAGTGTGGGTGTTCAAGGATAGGCTGGACGTGCACATGGTGGGCATGTTGTGAGTGAAGCCAGCTGGTGCTGGAGGTCAGACTGGATGGCCCGGGAGACCCCTTCTGATTCGCTTTGTTTCTATGTTTCTATGTACAATTAGAAATGTGTGCTTTGTAAGAAAATGTATTCCTAGAACATGTATTTAAATCTGTGTTCATATGTAACTTTTCATGTGTAAATTTCAGTGAAGCAACTGAACATTTATGCAGAAATGGAACTTGTGTGTACACTTACAACATTGACATTGCCTGGAAATAGATTCTAGCCATTGTATTTACCTATTCTTTAGCACATTCACTTCATGCCTTTCTTCCAACATGGAACTCAAGTCCCTGTACATGGATATAAAAAAAGCAGCAGTAGTGGACCAACTGTGAAGTTCCTTTGATTATGGAATACGGCAATCAGAAAGTCATGTTACTAAATGCATTGGAATCCTAGGACGGGTTCACTGGGTAGGGGGACTTTAATTTTTCACACCCCCAAAATCCCAGTCTGGATGCATGAAATGTTATGTTAAGCAAGCACAGTTTGTGGCATTGCAAAACATGGTCATTTATTCCAGGACACATCTGTAAAGACATTGCTCTTAGATTCTGGCCTTTGTAGAACTTGAGTCAACATGAGATAACCATAGTCTTAAACAGGCAAGGGTTTTTTTTTTAATCATTGAATGAGATTATTTTGTTCTGAATGTTGTCTGTTAAATAAAAGTCCATTCTTTAAAATACTTACGTTCTGGCCTGATGGAGTTGAGGACTGATATATCTCACCACACATGCTACAGATTGAAAAGGGAAGTGCTAATGCTTTTCTTAACTAGTACATGGTAGCACCTAGTGTTGTTGGAGAGTCCTGGGAAAATGTGTGGCCAGGGCCTTATGGGCAACCCCTAGACAAGTTACCTTGGGGTTCCCAGATAGCCTTCCAATTATCCCTACTTCTGCTTAACTTTAGCAAGCTTGCTACATTATGTGCTCAGAAGCCATGCCCTACAGCAGTGATTAGTTAAAGGAGAACTTGGGGTATCAATGGACAGATGCAATCAGCTGATTACTGTGGTTAGAACTATGCTATCAGTGATGTGCAGTTGTTGCCAAATGTGTCAGTCTCACATCTCCCCCTCCTAGGAGGGTAGGAAGCTGCCTCACACTGGATTTTAGGGACACATTTTGCCTGCTCTACTTGGAGAGATCTCCTCTGTCTCCCAGTAAAGAATTTGGAACATGCAGCAAGGTAGGAGTTCCCCCTCCCTTGTAAGCATTAGACAATGAAGTAAAGTGAGAAGGGCCAGAAATGCTCAGGGTGCTGCTATTTATTTATTTATTTATTTATTTATTTAAAACATTTCTATGCCACCCCCATCGCAACAAAGCCTCGGGGCGGCTCATGACAAAAACAAAAACATACAAAATTATACAAAAAATATACACAAAAAATATTAAAACCCGGTGCATCTCGGCTTAATTTTTTTTAAATCCTACATAATAAATTAACACTTAAAATAAGTTTTAAATAAAAAGGTCTTAGCCTGGCGCCGAAAAACAAATAACGACGGCACCAGGCGGACCTCTCTGGGGAGCGCATTCCATAGGTGGGGCGCCACCGCAGAGAAGGCCCTCCTCCAGGTACTATTTCCAATGGAGGTTCTTTTACTCTCTATATTCACACAGAGAGAGAGAGAGAGAAAGAGAGAGAGAAAGAGAAAGATGCTCTTGTCACCTTCAAAAGCCACCTTAGCTTTGCCACAGTGTGTAGTCCTGGACTTTAAAGAGTGTTTTGTGCTGGAAATAGTTCTGTTCAGTGACAATATGGGAGCTGGAGCATAACAGTCAAAAGTTAACCTCCCATTTGGGAACTCCAGAGAGAAGACCAGTGTAGCTTCCGGAGTGGAAGGGCTGGCTGGGAAGAACCCTCAACTGTTTAAGACTAAAGAGAGCGATGAATGTCTAGACAGACCTTTTTATTCTCTTCATCGGTCTTTATGATGGCTATGGAAGGAAAGTATTTTCTGTTTCTGCCCTGAGTAGTCAAATTCTATTCCTGTTTACTTAGGAAATCCTAATGCACTCAGTGGAGCTTACTCCTAGATATGTGTGCACACAATTGTGACCTCTGTAGCCCTTGATCACCACAAGCTGATGCCAGGTGGAATGACTGAAAACACATCATAGGACAAATATATCAGTAGGTCTCCTCTTTTCTGCCATCATATTTCCATCTGCTGTTCTCTGCTACCAGATAATGGAATTTTCTCTGTAGTTAAATTTATAGGAGTTGTCACTGGCAAGGGCTGTCTTAGCATTGTGCAAAGACATTTTATGAAGACAACAAACTGCTTTTTATAGTGATTCCTGTTCTTGGGATTGAGTTAATACTTCAAACTAGGTACATTTCTACAGGTTTATCATTTAAAAGCTAAGTGCTCAGCCCCTGAGACCTAGATATGCACTGCAGTGTCTTCATGCTTTGTGTTCTCTTCTCCCACCACCCCACACGCAGCTATAATTTAGCTCTAATCATAAACAGGTGTACAGCAAGAGGGAGCTTTAATTAAGTTTTAAAAGCCTTGTAGGGGCTTATTTGTGAACTTGCCTGCCCTGTAGTAGCTATTGAGGCTTAGTTGTGGAGGCAAAGGAACTCTCTGACGTGGCAGTTTAGCTGAAATGCATTGCCATACCAAAGTTGCCTTCTATAAAATTGGCACAGCCACAGAAATGATACTTCACAGAAAGATAGAACATTCCCCCTTCTCCTCCTCCTCCTCATTATCAACTATCATCATTATTTAACTGAAACAGAATGGCTTAGAGTACTTATGGAATGCTGTCTTAAAGTCAGCATTTCTGCAATTCTGTCTATCAGACAGGGGGGACATACACAGACATATGGAAAATTCAGGGTACCTAAGATCCAGCCCAAATTAAGCCCTTTCCTTTCTCACTGATTTCAGTGGGAGAAACTTAAGTGCATGCTTATGTACGTATGTATTTTTCTAAAGGAAATTTGTGCTGTGCTTTGGTCAGTCCTTTTCTTATCCAGAAAGTATTTTGTTCATATTGCTTGCATGCTCCCTTGGCCTAAAAATGAGAGATGGCAGGTGAGAAATGGGAAATCAAATCTTGGATGGAACAAGGTGCAAGCACCAAACGCACAGCCCTGAAAGCACATGCTTTCGTTGCCTTTTATTTCTCTGAAGATGCATGGCCATATGCTACACCATCTGTAGCTCTTTTGCAGTCTCCACTTGGAAACTCTTTTGCAATCAAAGTGCAAGTCAGCATGTGGAAATGAAGCAGGCGGCTCAACGCAAGACAAGTCTCCCACTATCATGCCAATTTGGGTTTGCTGCCTTCCAATGAGGTTTAAAGTTGAAAGACATTCAAGCAGTTCAATGCCAGAATGGTTCAAGAATTAACACAATGGAAGAAGCTCATAAGGATCTTGGTGGAATGATTTCTCAGTCCACAGATGTTTTTGGCCATGGTACCAGTGTTTCTTCTTCCATCCTGTCAATGTCATCTGTGTCTGGCTCAGTTTAAATGAGCCATCACTTTTCCAATTTCTTCTTGGACACTCTTGTTCATCCAAAAATGGTTGAACTGAAATCACATCAAACAGTTTTACTTCCAAAGCCAAAAATTATAGTCTTCTAAACAGCTCCTTTGGATACCATTCCTCAGCCATTCTGATTTGTTTGGAGAAGTGAAATAATGCATTGTGTTTAGACATAATGCTAAATTATAATTTAGTGCTATTTGAACAAGCCACCA